TTTTCTTATCTTGTGATATGAAAAAGATTGTCGAGCAAATCGCTTCTGCGTCTATTCTGTTCCTGCCAGTGTGAACCCACTTTAGCTCCGCTGTAATCTCAATGAAATGTTTCAAAGGGTACACATATACATGCCTTAAATTACGTTTTAAATGATATTTACCGTGTCTGTATTTGAGACATGTATTCAACATTAACATAATTTACACGAATCGAGCTAATAAAATTTAACTAACACTGGATAAAAAAATCGTCGCTCGAACATTTGTTTTTTCTTTTTTGAAAGGGAGGGGGGGGGGGTAAAGGTGACATTTTTTGGTTCAAAATCTAAAGAAGCTACTCGCTTTAATAATAAATAAAAAAAAATAAATAAAAATAAACAAACGCTGTTGAATTAATTTTGCTGCTATGCAATAGTCTAGAGTACAGCATCAATGTATTAACAGCAGTTTTTTAGCATGATGTAAAGGTGATCAAGAATTTATGTATGAACTTGACTTCATCCCAAAGCTGGCCTCTGGTTCTGAGTACCAGCTGGGGGTGTTCTGACCACGTGGGGTTAGGGGCGTGGCCTTGGGAATAATTGATTCGTCTGGTTCTCCCAGTCCATTTCCATTTTGTCGCATAAATATATATATATATATATATACTGTTCAGTTAAACTGTCACACCTTAAGGGTGCGCATTTCGACATTACGCTTTGTAATAACTAGATTTGACATCTGTAACAATTGCCTATCATTTCTATCGTTGGCGGCAATAGCTGTAACTATATTATATGGACATAAGTGTAATCTCAAATAATTCAGAGCTTTTTCCAAGCCTATCTGGCCATGTCTCTTGTACATGTAGGAAGAAGATGAAGGAAAACTAACATTTGCTACAAACCTAACACACGAACTATTTGCTAATTAACGTTGGATCCATACACAGATATAGTTCCACGTTTGGTATCACGCCCTTGCTATACAATGTAGAAAAGCTATACTTAAGAGAACTATATCTGTATTTACACTAATATACTGGGAATCTTTGAGATCCTGCCAAGCTTTGACATTTCTTACATCTTTGGCTTCGTTCACACGGGTCGAACCTGTTGAGCTTCAGTTCCGATCCTCTGCCGTGCAGACACACACAGCGACGAAAGAAAACTGATTGCATTCTGTACTCAGCATCCACAGTATAGGCTACAGTAATCAACGCATGAATGATTGCAATCAGTTTTCTTGGTCTTAACGGAACGTGCCAAAGTGCGCTTACTTGTAGAGCATCATGAATAGTAACATAATTATATTTGCAAAAATACCGGATCTGGAACCGGATCACCTCAACTGGTGATCCGTGTGAATGTAGCGTTACATATATCAACAGTCTTGAAGTCCAGTGTCATACAGAACACCAATTGGTCTACAGCGATATTAAGCCACAGACTAACATTACCATGGAAACAGTATAGTACGGGCCATCTCATTGGTTACAGTAATGTTTCATGCTGGCCAATCAGTGTTATTGATGACTTTTTTTGTGATTTTTCGATCCAATCAATTTTATTTAGAGTCAAATGTCTCCACCAATTAGGGTAAATGTAGCAATCATCCAATCATATGTGGGTTTACATCAGCAGGAACAGCCTCCTTCTTGGTCCAGTTCCGTTGGTTCTGGAGATTTTAGCTCAATTGGGGCTGAGAGATAGGGTTAAGGAAATTTGCAAAGCTTCTTTTGGAAAAAGGAAAAAATAAAGGCAAAACAAGTCCCCCCTCGAAAAAGTTCGTTTCACCGATTCTTGTAACTTAAAATTCTGAAAATAAATAAATTAGTAAATGAATAAAGCCTCATACTTCAGCCAAGTTTGGAGTAACGAAAGCCATTAAGAGAGGATATACTCACTTTCAATTTTCCCAGTTTCATAAAGGTTTTATTTAAATAATTAAACTTTGAGAGAGGCAACGTTCTACGGAACACTATAAATTGTGAAATTAAAGTAAAGGATGGTGGCTGTTATTCCTCGCTATTCCAATTATTCAGAAAAGGGGATCATAAAAGGTAAAGGGTCACAGTAAGTCACGTCTTTCAAAACATGCGATGCTCATTCATATTTTTCATTCCTTTTTACACTTACATCCGGTAGGGTACAAAATAAGGACGAAAATCGACACACATGCAAAATCATTAACTCAGAAGAAAAAGAAAGACGGTCAAGCAAATATTATGACGTTTTATTTCCACTACATACAAGTATGACTTCAAAGTTTACAAGCACCTTATAATATCTTCGAGGTTTACATGTCCAAAAACCAAATCTGTGCAGTAAGTATAAACCAAGATCCATCTTATTTTCCATACCAAGTATCTGAAGAGCAACAGGGAATGGCGAGGATCTGGTAACGCCATCTTTCATAACCCAATCATAACCCAGATTAGTTCGAGGTCATTGCGATGACCTAGATTGAAACGACCCACATTGAGATCTAGGTCACTGCGTTGGCACCAAACGAAACGCAATGTCAGCCAATAAAAGATGGCGTCACTGCCGTGTTTTGCATTCGTCATGTGTGGGGAAGAGATAATGCAAGCAAAATTAGTCTATTAATTGAGAAAAAAAATTATCACAAGGGTGGCAGGATGTTACAGATAATGCAAATATGCTCAGCTTCAGTTATTTTACAAAGCATAACACCAAAGGCGGTTCTTTTTTTTACCAGCCTACTTCTGTGCTGTATTTTCTTCCAGACTCAACTCGTCATTCTTCTTTATCATACCTATCTATATCACTAATTATGGACATTTGGTAAATCTCTTTGAAGTTTCATATAAAAAACAATTTTTTCGTTAAATGCATCCTCTATACACGATATTTACATATTGAACAACCCCAAAAATGGTTCCCCCTCTTCTTCTCCCCAAAAAACCCTCAGAACAGCTTGCAGCTGGCGTGACATAACCTCTGCCAAACACATTAATGACACATTCCCAACAGTGGGTATGCTATATTACAATCAATAAATACTGTGAAATAATTTTTATATAGATATGAACCCTATCAGAAACGGATTTCCTTTTCTGACATTTACTTTTCATATTATTTAAGAATCGTCATGTTACTTTTCATGTTATTTAAAGATTATATACCACAAGATGTGAACATACTTCAGGGATATGCCAAGTTGTTATTTTAACATCTAACGTATTTCCTAGAAGCACTCAAAATAAACTTTCTAATGAAAAATAAATAGAGTGACATTATGAAATGCCACCAGTGAGCTGGAGAGATTTAAATACTTGATATATAGGAAGCGTATCACTGAAAAAAACTGCCTCTTTTCTATTGCAAGTACCATCAAGTGGTAATTTACCAGAATAAGCGCTTCTGCACAAGGTAAATAACTTTAAAAATATTTGGTCCTTTATTTTTTTTTCTACCTGTAAATATAAGGCAATCTGGTTTGAAATGAGCACGTAAAAACAAATATACTTTTGTTTCTTATTTAAACTGCATTCTCTGGCTGTTTTACATATAAAGTTCTATGACCATGAAGATAATCTGATTATTTTTCATACTGTCTGAAAAGCCCAATAATACACCCATCAACGTATACGAACCTCCAATGAAATGCCTTCTTACAATACAAAAAGAAAGTGTTGGAACCAATCTTAACCCAATTTTCATATAGATATCACAAAAAACATCCCATGAAATCCCTTTTTAACAAAAGAACACCACCAAAATAGCAGTTTGTTGGATGGAACCAATCATGACACAGNCCAATCATAACCCAGATTAGTTCGAGGTCATTGCGATGACCTAGATTGAAACGACCCACATTGAGATCTAGGTCACTGCGTTGGCACCAAACGAAACGCAATGTCAGCCAATAAAAGATGGCGTCACTGCCGTGTTTTGCATTCGTCATGTGTGGGGAAGAGATAATGCAAGCAAAATTAGTCTATTAATTGAGAAAAAAAATTATCACAAGGGTGGCAGGATGTTACAGATAATGCAAATATGCTCAGCTTCAGTTATTTTACAAAGCATAACACCAAAGGCGGTTCTTTTTTTTACCAGCCTACTTCTGTGCTGTATTTTCTTCCAGACTCAACTCGTCATTCTACTTTATCATACCTATCTATATCACTAATTATGGACATTTGGTAAATCTCTTTGAAGTTTCATATAAAAAAACAATTTTTTCGTTAAATGCATCCTCTATACACGATATTTACATATTGAACAACCCCAAAAATGGTTCCCCCTCTTCTTCTCCCCAAAAAACCCTCAGAACAGCTTGCAGCTGGCGTGACATAACCTCTGCCAAACACATTAATGACACATTCCCAACAGTGGGTATGCTATATTACAATCAATAAATACTGTGAAATAATTTTTATATAGATATGAACCCTATCAGAAACGGATTTCCTTTTCTGACATTTACTTTTCATATTATTTAAGAATCGTCATGTTACTTTTCATGTTATTTAAAGATTATATACCACAAGATGTGAACATACTTCAGGGATATGCCAAGTTGTTATTTTAACATCTAACGTATTTCCTAGAAGCACTCAAAATAAACTTTCTAATGAAAAATAAATAGAGTGACATTATGAAATGCCACCAGTGAGCTGGAGAGATTTAAATACTTGATATATAGGAAGCGTATCACTGAAAAAAACTGCCTCTTTTCTATTGCAAGTACCATCAAGTGGTAATTTACCAGAATAAGCGCTTCTGCACAAGGTAAATAACTTTAAAAATATTTGGTCCTTTATTTTTTTTTTCTACCTGTAAATATAAGGCAATCTGGTTTGAAATGAGCACGTAAAAACAAATATACTTTTGTTTCTTATTTAAACTGCATTCTCTGGCTGTTTTACATATAAAGTTCTATGACCATGAAGATAATCTGATTATTTTTCATACTGTCTGAAAAGCCCAATAATACACCCATCAACGTATACGAACCTCCAATGAAATGCCTTCTTACAATACAAAAAGAAAGTGTTGGAACCAATCTTAACCCAATTTTCATATAGATATCACAAAAAACATCCCATGAAATCCCTTTTTAACAAAAGAACACCACCAAAATAGCAGTTTGTTGGATGGAACCAATCATGACACAGCTTTCATTCAGATTTCACATGAACATCCAATGAGAAGTCTCTTTACATTCAGCTAGCATGCACAGCCGCCGGCTTGTTTCTCAGGTTCTGCGGGGGTTTCTTTAAGCTTCACTTCGATCACTGAGAAGCGACGTTAAGGAAATAACGTAAAACAAATAATAGAACAATTAAAAGAAATAAGTTGGTTGATAATCGTGCAAACATTTAATACAAACATGCTAGGTAAAAAGTACCAAACAAAGAGCTATGATTTTGTCTTGATCTTGTTGCAAACATCATATCAAAAGCCCATTAACAAATCAATGTTAATGAATTCTTGAATTTAAATGACCATGCAAGGTAAAATTATATCAAATACAATAACAACAACAATTACTTGTTTGCCTAGCTAAAAATTGAACACAAGAACTATCAGGCTTCAAATAAATAAATAAATAAATAAATAAATAAATAAATAGTTAATAACAAGAAACCTCAAAATGAAAACAATTTTAGTGATATTATGTGCTCAACGATGAAAGTAATTGAAGAAAACTGACTCAAGCACAGAGCAGTCATTAATAACGGTGATCCATTGTGGTAAGAAAAAATAATCTTATTGTTGATTGCAATAAAAAAATAAAAATTAGGAATGAAAAACAAGTAATAACAATATAATAACTTCACACAAATATTCAGCACTTGTGATAGTGACTTTTTTGCACAAATAGATCAAACCTGACGAGATATATCTATCAGTCAGAAGTGCTATAACACATATAAGTGCAAAATATATTTCTCCAAGTGATGAAAAGAGAAAAAAAAAAAATGAAGAAAATACAGAAATGCAGACATCTTTAAAGTCACAAAAAATTCTTTTTTCATCCATAAAAATAACTTTTATGTGGTCCTTCGAGCTTTGGGGTTTTCAGTCGATTTTTTTTTAACTTTAAAAAAAAGGGCAGTCTTATGTTACATTTTTGACATTAAAGAACATATATTAAGCTTAGCTATGCAATATAGCAACATATGAAAGAGAAAATATAAAGCTTGGCTTTAAGGTGTAACATGGGCAACCAAAATGATCCCTCCAATATATGTAGCTTCATGCCTTTATATTTTTGTTCAGTGTATATATATATATATAACATGGACAACAAAGCCATGATTTCTCCAATATAAATCAAAGCATACATAAAGTCTTAGCTGTGAGGTTTAACATGGACACCCCCTGGTCTGGTCAGCGGTGGTGGCGGGGGTCTGGGGGGTTAGGACCACCTCACTTACTGAGGACATGGTTAAGGTTTCACAACATTAACAAACAGCAACAACATCGTCACAACACTACATTACAATACATGTTATCCTACGGTACACGGCAATAGTTACACTGTAATATCTATCAAGAAAAAAAAAGGGAAAAAGAAAAGAAAGAAAGAAAAGAAAACACTGCTCTATGACTTTATAGCAACAAAATAATCACAGTGCTGCAGTGCAAGACAACAGTTGCATGATATATCTAGTGAGAAAAGAAAAATAAAACTACTATGTCCATTGTAACTTCAGAATAACAACTCTGTCTGTTACAATGTTAGTTTAAATATTACTTAGACAGGAAGACAGCACACAGTACATCTACTGTAATATCTGGACTAAAATGCTTAATGTATAACACTATGGAACAGACTTGCTGCATCTAACTGCTACTTCTAACTACTACTACTTCAGTAACTGCTACTACTATTACTACTACTACTACCACTACTACTACTACTACTACTACTAGTGATCAACACCCTGAAATGAAATCAATGCTGCCCAACCTTTCACCACTGCTGCACTGAGTTCCCTAGTCATGCTTCCAGTTGAGTTCACCTAAGCTGGTAAAAAGAATTTTATCAAGCTGCCATATCAAGATACCAATGTAATGAAGTTGAACTCAAAATAATGGTGTGGGACACACAGTGAATAGATGAGCCCTCCATGGTGACATAACCATAATCAGGCTGCCAGGTTACGATTAGCCCACCACAGGGAGACAATCTTTTGACACCTGACTGGCCTCAATGACTACTGGTGTGTGGGATACACATGGATTAGATTGGCAGTCTATGGTGACCTAATCATAACCAGACTACCAGCTGTGATGGGCTCTGCCAATTTTGGTCAACTCATCATAAGTGGTTATTTAGGTTTAACAGCTTGTGGGGAACTGTTTATCCACATTGTTTTCAGGTTATTTCCTATGACTATTGTGACTATAAGCACCAACACCAAATATCTTGAAAACCAAAGCAGAACATTAATGAGTTTAAATTTAAATTCATCTGACTCTTCGCCCCTATGAATAACCTAAATTAAATTTTCCAATCTTGGTTGGCAATCACTTTAAACAATGGTAACTAGGAAGCCCATTGAGTGCCTTGAGAAGAAAAGAAAAAGAAAAAGAAAAAAAAAAACTCTGCCCACCCACACAACCTTACTAATTTCACTCCAGAAGAAAATAACGGCATTGGCAATAAGACAAAGACAATAAGAAGATATTTCTCTTCAAAATGTCAATCACTTTAATCAGGAATGAGACTGCCGTTTTAGAGAAAAAGTCTGAAAATATGCTGTGGGGTCATCCAGGGGGTCCTCTGCATCTTATCTCAAAAATGATATTTTTGGCTCCCCAAAAGTAGGATGTCTGCCAATAGTAGGAAAAATCTCATTACTGTTGCACTAAAATAGAGTGTGTGGGAACAAGAAATTCTTCCACACTGACAATAAAAGGCATAAAAACAGCAAGTGTAAAAATTACTAATACCATTGGAAATTTGCAGGGTCTCCTTGTGCGACCAAAATACACAGAATATAGAATTAAGATTGCCTAAAATAAACAAAGAAGGCTTTAACATTTCAATAAGTGCAATATAACAATCCAATTACTTCTGTGACGTTATTATGTGTATTGTTAATGGTCAGAAGCACACGTCAAAAGCAAATATGATATTTGAAGAGCTGGAAAAAAGCAAATCGCACAAAAAATTGAAGGGAGATGTAAAAGATGTTAATGATATTGACAAGTGACTTACCGTAACAGGAACGGTGATTATGATGAAATCTTAAATTTGGGAAGAAGCACAACAATGACCAAAAATAGGATAAAACATTTCAATATGATCAGGTAAAAAAAAAAAGAAAAGGCTGTTGTCCTCAGAATTGAAGAACATTTGTCTGTTCTGATATTCCCTCCTCCTCAGCATACGTCTGTGGTACTACATCGCTTTCAAAATAAGATTTTCACAAGAAAATGTTGCTTGTTTGTCAATAAAGCAATATCTGGAAATAATTTTTTCTAAAGACTTATTTACTCTTTATCAGTTGCATATCATTGTGAATTTTAATTTTAAAATTTTTTTCCTTTTTACTGTGACATGCCTGTTAAGCTAAGAAAACTAATTATAAGCAAACAGACAGACATGAATGAATACAAGGCATTCAATATATACAGTTATTTGTTCTGATGATCACCAAAAACCAAATTGGGGCAAACAAATAAGGGGTGGCCATTCCCAATGCCCTGTGCACTATCTATGAGGTAGTGGATAGATTGGTCATTTCCAATGAACTGATGCAGTGGATTTAGCAGCCATTCTCATTCATATGTCCACCAAATGTGCAAAGAACTAATTCTACACAGCGCAATTACATTAAAAAAAAAAAAAATCAGCCCAAAATACCCTACACATTCAGCAAGTTATGTATATTAGGTTAATATAATAGAGATGTACCCTTCTTGGTGATACCCTTCACTAAGCATGGCGATGAAAAAGGAAAGTGCACTTTATACTATTCATGAAAGGATACTGTCTTGATCTTTCTTGTTTTCTGTTTGTTCCATGCCCGGTAACGCTGCTGCAACTCTTCTAAATAACTGAGAAAACAAACAAATCAATTGATTAGTGAAAGTGAAATTGTATCACCAATACTGTTTAATTAAATCCGTTATGATTTTTGTATTTTATCACCTGAGACTACCATTTTACTACTAAGGAAAAAAGAAAAAAAAAAAAAACTGATCCAAATCTTTATTTCTTAGTTCAATCACTCCCTCCATTGTCATTATTTTAGTGTATAACAGGGGCGAATTTGGGCCGTCTTCTGGGTCTTCTGGAAGACGGTCAGATTTTCAAGTTTACATTGATGGGTATCTATTTTTTTTTTTTCTGTTGGAAGACGGTCAAAAATGGAAGATGGATCAATAAAGATAATTTGGAAGACTGTCAGAAAATATCTCTGGATAAACTTTCACTTACTTGTTTGACATTATATCCAGCCTTAGCACTGGTTTCAATAAACATAACATTTAATTCTTTAGCTTTTCTTTCCCCTTCTTCTGTTGACACTTGCCTAGAATAATTGAGTAAAACAAACAAATACTACAGACTATAAATATAATGAAAAAGATTAAAATTAAACAGAAATGTTCGAAAAAGCATGATTATTAAAAAGTGCTGCGACACTAGTATTAGGACATCAAATCAAGTTCCTTTAAAAGATTTTTAAAGCAAGTTCTTTTTTTAAAGCAAACTCCTGAAAACTCATAATTCCCAATAAACGCATTCATTCTGTTCATACACATTTGGACACCACTTAGACAATCACATTTTCAATCTTTAGTTTGTAATATATGTAAAAAAAATCACAGCAAAATTCACTCTTTGTGAAGTGCCACTTAATAGCTGGCTAAGTCTAAGTAGGGTATGATCTCCCCCCCCCCAAAAAAAAAATAGTAATAATAATAATAATTAAAAAAAAAAAAAAATGAATAAATAAAAAACTTGAATCAGGCCTGATGTGAAACAGGACCCTGGAAACTTTGGAATCAAAGCAGCCATTCCCAAACATAAAATGCCTTATAGAATGTTATAGAAATCTAGAGATGTGTTTTACCTCTTGTCTGCTAAATCTGTTTTGTTGCCCACAAGCATGATAATAACATCGCTCCCTCGTTCTGTTCGCACGTCATCGATCCATTTGGAAGTTTGTTGAAATGAGTTGGCATCTATAGAGGAAAAAAAAAAGTTATGATCTTATTATTATACTTCAAAAGAGAAACAATTGCCAGAGCAAAAATAAGACTGACATTTAGAAACATTAGCAGAGAAATATATCTAGGGGAAAAAACTGTGGATGCTTTTGTTTCAAAGTCCTTTATATTATCCAGCTTATATTTGTATTGATCCAAAGATATTTTCAGAACTAATAATAAGACATTTTTTGATCCATGATTACGCTTAAATCACCATTTATACCATGCCACACTTACCCTTATTTTATTGTTAATATCAATTTTACCAATAATTCTGTAATTTCACATATCAAATCTAAACATTTTAAGCCTTAATTTTTGCACAATTGCTATACTTTTGATCATCAAAGATGTTAAATGACCTCATTTTTGGTTTTCAACATCAACCACATATTACAACATTATTTTTCCTATCATAGCAAATCAAACATCAAACAAATTCCTTTACATCTTATTGACTATAATATAATAAGACTCTTGCAGGTGCACGACATTCTTGGATTTTCTGTTTTTACTAAAATCGTAGAGCTACTGATGAATTTTGGATAAACAACTATACTCACTGGTAATATCATATACTACTACAGCTACTGAAGAATTGCGGATATAACTGGATATACAATGATACTCACTGGTAATATCATATACTACTACAGCTACTGAAGAATATCATATACTACTACAGCTACTGAAGAATTGCGGATATAACTGGATATACAATGATACTCACTGGTAATATCATATACTACTACAGCTACTGAAGAATCTCGGATATAACTGGGAATTAAACTTCGGAAGCGCTCCTGGCCTGCAGTGTCCCATAGTTGTAATCGTATCTAAAACAGATAAATAAAGAAATAATGTAAATAATAATCACAACAATAGACAATTATAGACAGAAAGCTTTATCATTGTTATGGAAAATGAGAAAAAAAAAAAAAAACAAACAAAAAAAAAAAAAAA